CCCCCCCGGGGGGTTGGCAGGAGGGGGGGGGGACAGCCCAGAGCCTCACCTGGGTGCTGGCACTGGGAGCTGGAGCATCTCCCAGGGGTGGGTGGGGAGTCAGGGTCACACCAGCTCTAGTCCCAGCCTCTCCTTGCTGCTTCCCAGCACTGCCAGCTCCAAGCAGGGGATGCTGAGGGTGAAGGTGCCCCCTCTGCCTGGGGGGCTGCCACCACCAGAGGAGCAGGACACCTGTTTGAACCTGGCCAATGCATCTTGCCTCAGTGACCCATAAAAAAAAAGTAGTTCCCAGCAAGAGCTGCTGCCCTGCAGAGCCCCTGACACTCAAAACACACACATTCTGGCCAGGGGACAAGGTCCCCATCTTAGCCCTGTCCTCTGGCCATGTCCTGCCCTCCAAAGACATGCCAAGAGCCAACCTCCTGCATACAGGAATGCTGACACTGGGGCTGGCCCCACAGCTGGGAAAGGGGTTGGATGCCAAGCCCCCACCTTCCCTCACAGCCACCAACTTGTCCCTGAGGCTCATCCTGAGCTGGTGGAGAGGAGGGAGGGCAAAGCACCAGGAAGGTCAACCAAGGTGGGACTGAGCTGTCCCAGGAAGATGCCAGAGCTGCAACTTTCTGCAGGGCTGCTCTGGTGTTATCACAGCAAGCATCAAAAGAAACCCAGCCTGACCAAACCTGCCTGTTCCCTCAGCTCATGGCTGGGAGCAGAGCTGCCCTGGCAGGGTCTCTGCAGTGAGGCACTGGCTGGGAAAGGCTCCTTCAGCCCATCTCTGCCAGGTACAGGCAGCACAGAGCAGAGCTGACCTCTCCTGCAGCAGCTACAAGGAGAGCTCTGCACAGAGGCACCTTAGGTGACATGAAGTGCCATGGGGTCCCCAGGGAGCCACCCCACCCCTGCTTGCCTCTTCCATCTCATGACATGGGAGATCTCCAGCCCACACGTCTCATGAGATGATCAATGTTACCAGCACTTGAACAACAGACCAAGGGCTGAAGAAACCTCCCTGCCCCTGAGCCAGACCCACCTCCCGTGCAGCACCAAGCTCCCTGGAGCTGCACAACCCCCTGCATCCAAACCCCCTCCCGTTTGGCCACCCACTCTTTTTCTGGTCACCACCAACCCCCAGAAGATGTTACCCTCACTCACTGTGCCCCAAAGCTGCTCACCAACAGCCTCTCCCAGCCATCAGGCTCACGAGCCCCAGCTGCCCACACAGCCCCTTCCCAGCCCTCCAAGTTCTCCCACTCCTGGTGTAGCCCCTTCACATCCCCTGCCCGGGCTCATCCCAGTGCTTGCAGGACAAGGCAAAGACCCGGGCACACAGGGAAGGTGCTGTTCTGCCTTCTGGCCTGCCAGGGATGCTGCAGGAGTGCCTGGGGGGCTCAGGCCCAGCTGTGGGAGGTGGGTGCAGGGAGGTGAGTTCCTGCTGGTGTTTGATGGGAGCTGGGCCCCACTTCCCCCCGTGCTCAGACACAGCGTGGCACTTGCTTAGTGCTTCTTCCAGGACTTGTGCTGACGTGATAAACCCAGTCCCCACCTCCTTAGCCTCACATCCCAGCTGGAGCCATCACCCCAGCATCGTGGCAGCTGTCCTGGCTGTGGTTGTTGCCCACACCCTGCTGGGGTGGCAGCTCAGATGGCACATTGGGGAGCCAAGGGCTTTAACGTCATGGCCAGGATGTGGCAAAGCACCTTGTGATGCTTGGTTGACTCAGATGACAAGGCTCCCCAGGACATGCTGATGCACAATGGGGCTCAGGGGAAGGGGTGGCTGCCAGGGCAGCAGCTGTGGAGCCAGCCAAGCCTGGGTACACTCTCTCACCACGGTGACATTCCCTTACATGACGTCTCTGGTCCATGGCCACCCCCTGCTTCCGGAAGATAACACCGTGTATGAGTGTTTTGAGCACACACTCCTGCCTTATCTTCAGCAAACACTCCCAGGGCCCTGCAGAGCCGTTTGAGGGAGCCGAAGGAGCGACACAAACCCACCCTTGGAAGGCATTTGCTCCATCCCACCGTGAAGGGCCAAGCATCTTCCGCCACCACCACCAACCGGAGCGGCGCGGCGAGGCCGGGCAGAGCCCCACGCTCACCCTCTCTGCACTGATGATGCCACATGTGGTCCTGGCAGGACCCTGGTGGGGTTTCAGAGAGATGGCCAGGCAGGGAGCTGGGCAGGGCTGTGCCCAGCAGGTTCAGGGACTCAGCAAGAGCTGGGCAAGAGGGAGCATCTTGGATGCCAGGGCAGCCCAGAGGCAGCTGTATCCCCAGGAGCCCCCTGCACAAATCTGGCTGCACTTGACTCACTCCAAGCAGGACCAGCTCTGGTCCCTGCAGCAGCCTCCATTCCTGGGAAGCACTCTCCATTCCCAGGAAGCACCCAGGCTCTGCAACAGCACCCAAGAGCACCCAGCAGGGAGGCAAGAGACATCCACAGCTCTCTCCTGGGACCTGGCCTGATGCTGGCAGGAGAGGAGGGCAGCTGGTGCTGCAGGCCAAGGGCTGTGCAGGCTCCCAGCACCCCCACTTCCCTGGACACCCCAGCACCCCCACCTGCCTGGCACCAGGGAGACACAGGAAAGAGCTCGGGGAGGCTGGAGGACACAGGGAAGGCTGATGTGACCACAAAGGGGGAGATGGAAGTTACTGGAGTTTGGGAAATGCTGCAGCCCCTGGAAGTTTGCAAAGGGGGGG